TGTGCCAAGGCATGGGCCTGCTATGCAACAGGAAATCTACTCCTACATCTAAATACACTCCTACATTTTTAACTACTGTATTGGCAATTCACTGCTTAGTATTATGTTGATAGACTTTGAGCTGATGTTGTAGGATTCTAGCCACCTTTTAAAATCTATCTTGCACCCAGACAGCAATAAAAGCATATAAAAAGCACTGGGAAGCACTAACTTAAAGACAATACTTGCTGGCTTTGGCCTCTTTAATATCTATAGGCAGCCTGATAAAAGGAAAGTGTTTGATGTTGCTCCCAGAATGGAATGATGTTCAATTACAGTACTATAATAATAGCTTTAAGCACTCCCATCTGTCCTGCTTTCCAGGACATCTAGGGCACAGACAGGCAGGATACATAGGACAGTGAACTAATGGATATAACCATAGTAGCCAGAATCCAAGTGAGTAATTATGCTGGTATAAATCCATAACTATGTTTCAGCCATGCATTGCCACTAGTTAAGTTGGTGTTTGCATTTCCTAGCATGTGCCAAGGCATGGGCCTGCTATGCAACAGGAAATCTACTCCTACATCTAAATACACTCCTACATTTTTAACTACTGTATTGGCAATTCACTGCTTAGTATTATGTTGATAGACTTTGAGCTGATGTTGTAGGATTCTAGCCACCTTTTAAAAAATATATGTTGGTAAGGCAAATTGAAAAGGTTCAACACACTAATAGTAATAGTAATAGTAATAGTAATATGCAACAGGAAATCTACTCCTACATCTAAATACACTCCTACATTTTTAACTACTGTATTGGCAATTCACTGCTTAGTATTATGTTGATAGACTTTGAGCTGATGTTGTAGGATTCTAGCCACCTTTTAAAAAATATATGTTGGTAAGGCAAATTGAAAAGGTTCAACACACTAATAGTAATAGTAATAGTAATAGTAAAGTAAATAGTAATAGTAATAGTAATAGTAATAGTAATAGTAATAGTAATAGTGTGCTGGCAAGTCGATTATGACTTATGGTGGCCCTTTCCTGGGCTTCATAGGTAAAGAGTAAGTAGAAGTGGTTTACCATTCCCTGCTTCTGGGGACATCTTGGAACTGTACAGCTTGCCCAAGGCTACAAAGGTTGGCTGTTTTCACAGGATGTGCAATGGGGAATCAAACTCACATCTCAGATACCTAAAGCACTGAGCTATCCAGCCAGCTAGTGACAATTTACCACAAGTTTAAAACGGAGTAAGTGAGGACTGCCAAATAATTTTTAATTTTAGTTCTGGAGCTTTACCAGTGTAGTGCAGTAGACAAATTAACAGATTAGGAATCAGGAGATCTGGGTTTGAATCCCCACTTGGCCATGGAAACTCACTGGAAGGGGAGGATGGGTGGCACTGATAAAATAATTCCTTAAATATCTTACTTATCTTCAAAGCCCTATTAGGGCCATGGTTTGTCAGGTGCAACTTGACAGCATGTAACATACACACAATCTTGCCCAACAAGGTTTCACATAGTTGAAATAATATTAGCTGTGGGTCTGATGGAGCAGGAGCCTATGATGGGACAGGAGGGGCGGAGTTAGAGTGACAGTTGGGGGAGTTAATCTTGCCCAACAAGGTTTCACATAGTAAACAAGGTGATGGGAAGATTCTATGTATCTGATGATTTCATGGCATCCTTAGGCATCCACAAAGAAAGCTGAAGTGGCAATAAAATTTTGAGAGTAGTACAAAGACCAAGTAAGGCCAGTGGATTGTGTGTCTTTGGGATCTTAACAAATGTTTGTGAAATTCCTAGAAATATGTTAGTAGAGACATTAAGTTAGGGCTTCATGAAAAAGATATTTGGTTCTTCATAATGCACCTGATTTGTCACTGATGCTATTTTCCCACCCATTCATACAATGTAAGGCTTGCCTTTTCAAATAGTGACAGAATCTGTTACTTTCTGGAGGGTAGGGTGTCCCTGCCTTGCAGCACAGTTTATTTTAGGAATGTGCACAGGCCCAGCAGCAATTTGCAGTGCTGCTATATTTTTTAATTTTTTTAATTAATTACATTTATATACCACCCATCTAATGGCAAACTTTGTGCACGGCAGGAGAGGAAGCTGAACATGTTCCATATGTGTAGTCTCCAATCCATTTTTGGTATCACCTGGCAGGACAAAGTTCCCAATAGAGCAGTCCTAGAACAAGCTTGAATTTTTAGCATGTATACATTACTAAAACAGTGCCTTCTACATCAGCTCAGGCATGTCATAAGAATGGCTGATGGTCGAATTCCAAAAGATCTCCTGTATGGAGAATTAGTACAGGGAAATCACTCCACAGCTGCGCTACAAGGATATCTGCAAGCGGGATCTGAAGACCGTAGGAATGGACCAGATGGGAAACCTTGACATCTGAGCATTCAGCCTGGAGGCAGGTGGTGCAGCATGGCCTCTCCCAGTTTGAAGAGACCCTCGTCCAGCAGGCCAAGGCGAAGAGGAAGTCCCAAAAGCAGCAAAATCAGGGTGCTGGACAGGGGACAGACTGTATTTGTCTTCAGTGTGGAAGGGATTGTCACTCTCGAATTGGCCTTCTTAGCCACACTAGACACTGTTCCAAGTCCTCCATACAGAGCATGTTACCATAGTCTCTCGAGACTGAAGGATACCTACACACAATGACAAACTACTACTCTGGACAATTTACAGCAATTAAAACTCCATGCCCTCCCACCATGACTGAAAGCAAACAAATGTTAACAAAAGAAGCCCCTGAGCTAAACAAACATACAATATAAATATAATGGCTCAGCAAATTTATGATGGGGGACAATATATATTTCAGCTAGTTTTGGGGAGGCAGGTTTAGTCTGTGTCACTTCACATATGAAGTTCATTTCTGCAATCAGAACCCCTTTCTAGAAGCGTTCAGTTAGGCTATTGATTAAATACCTCCACACAGAAAGACACAGAGCTGTGGAGGAGAAACTCCAGCAAGGAAGTTGATCTCCACATATTTATCAAAGGATTTTCTCAGACTTCCTGTTGAGAAGTAATTTTTTTGTGAAGAGGCTTTTTAAAATGAAGTGTGGACACAGATCCTGGTAAGCTCTGTGCTCCTTAATGATGAATAGGGAAAAACGAGGGCTGACATTTCCTTCCATCTGTAAGAGTGCTTACATAGGACAATTTAAATTGATTTCATTTCTGCAACATGCAGGGATTTCCAGTTCCTCCCTTTTTTCTACCGATACTGAGAGCATCAACAGTCAACTAATAAAGGCAATCAGCTCTTTTTAAGAATGGTGGTTCATGTCTACAAGCATGACATGAGATGTGATGTGATATTACTAAAGCAATGAAGATGCACCAAGGTAAACCTGACAGGACACCATGTTGATGAAATGCAATTTATAAATAAGGAGGTTTTCCTCTTATCAGATTACAGTTCTGGTTTATTGTAGGTGGCCCAACTCCTTAGGACTGAGCTTTCTATTAGACCCAAGCATATGATTTTCAATTGTTTTTGTGACATCCGAGAAACAAAAACAAGGTTAATGGGGTTCTGTGGTTGGCTGGAATGCAACTCTATATTTCATGTGTGGAGCAGCTACGTTTCCCTTTGCTTTTTCTCTCAAGTCTCCTTTTTCCTCTGTCTTTTGGCACATGCCCCTCTGAAAGAAGTGCTAGTAAATGCTAAATTTCCAAATATTCTCTCTTTCTTCTAACAGCACTCTGAAAGAGTGATCTACAATCTGTGTTATGGAAGAACACAGAAAGAGGTACTAGCTTTTATTCAGACAAGCTAAAACCTGTCCTGGAACCACAGGAAATCTAGTGTGAATAAAACTGCCTGGAATCTTTAAGTTATCTGCTTCAGTCATCACGTCTCCTGAAGAATAAGGTCAGAACTAATATATCCCTTCATCTCACTTCACTAGACACTGAACATTGATCTGATGAAAGAATGCAGTTGCTTGCTAACACAGCCAGCATCATGCCTCTTGGTTGTACATCTGTTCTGGGCAACTTTTATAAGGGCACATCCACACTGGCAGAATAGCTCACTATTTGGATCACTTTTGGTACTATTTGGTTTAAAATGTCTACATGTGTTTTGATTTAGAGTGATCCATCTTGTGCCTTTTTAGAGCTGCTCTGTTCTTTTTGGCAAACTAGTAGGGATACAGAGTGTGTGTTTTTTTGTTTGTTTTTTGCACAATTCAGAACATTCATAATCAGCCCATTCTATAGTTCACGTGAATGATTAATCTGCACAAAAATAATGCTATGGGCAGTGTTATTGGAGGTGACAACCCTGTGATGTGTTTGATGGGTTGTGGCATTGAAAGGGATGACAAAGAACCTTCCTCCTCTATTTTCATCTACTGTTCATTTAAAAAATTTAAAGTATTTTTTTCCTATTGAAGCAGTAAATAAACAAGTTGCATTGGTGGTGTTATGTTAGGTAGATGCATTGCTCTTTTGCTGTGTCACCTGATTTATTTAATAACAAAAAAAATTGATGGCCACAGGAAAGGGTGGGAAAGGGGCAAAAGGGGTGTCATTAATTGAAGGGGGGACAAATTGGGACAATCCGATGACTGGTCTGGACCCTTCTCATAGGATAAAAACATTGATCAGTGTGAACAGAAGGGTCGCTCAGGTGAGAAATAAAAGAGATGGCACTAAAGATAATCTTTTAAGCACAAAACAGCCTGCTTCATCTTACCCTTTCTGGACATGCCCTTAGTTTGGTCATGTAGTGCCCCTTAAATAATTGTGGAGATTATGAAAGATTTTTGCAAGTATCTTTTCAATGAAGTGTTTTTAAGGCTATTCGTCCAGTTCTGCCTAACAGAGGAAGTTTCACCACCAGGTGTCCCTAGGTGTCAAGCTATAGAGGAGCACTTCCTGGAAGGGAGCAGCTCTTCCTTGGCGGCAACAATTCACTTTCTAGGCCCACCTAGGCCTTGTTTCACAGGAACCATAAAGAACTGAAGAGAGTTACCTGATGCTAAAGGGAGGCATGGGAGAACCAGGAAATACAAAGGATCTTGCAATGTTCCCAGTTCAAGCTACAGATTTCTGGACTTAGCATTCACTCATGTATCTTATGCTTTCCTGTGACAGCTGAAAAAAAGAATTGCAGGCATTATGTGGAAGCATGGTCTCTCCCTTCAATTTGCAACCATTTCACACTCTGTGTGGGCAGGTGCCACCTTCTGGGCACACCTGGCAAACCTCTCCCCCCCCCCCCCAACAAACATTGCAGAATGTCAGCATTCATCAAAAAAATAATTTGCACTGACTTGGTGGTTTCCTCCCACATATTTCCTGTCCTGCTGCTGACGTTTTTCCAGCATTTGTGAATACCTAACAAGCTATACATACTGTATGTATTGTGCTCCCATTTTTAAAGAAGTAACAAAAATGCAGATTTTATCATTTGCAATGAACTGTTTGACTGTTGTGATGAAATCTAAAACTCTAAAGTGGGAGGGTTGGGGAGATTTTTTTTTATTATTATTATTTTTTGAGAAAAACAAATATGTCATTTAGTGGGATTAAAGAAAGGTAAAGAGGAAGAGTTTGTACAGTATTCCCCCCTCCCTTTTATAAGCAAAAAGTACAGATGGCCCTGCTCTGTTATATTTATCACAGCAGGAAGGCCTTGGTGTTCTTACAGTTTAGGCAGTTATTTTTGGCAGGGTAGTGCTGTGAAAAGGAGTGAATGACATCATTGTTTCACCTGCATTCGTTCTGCAGTCAGCTTCATCTGTCGCTACAGATCTAAATGATGGCAGGTAAAAAAAAACCCTAATACCATCTTCAATCTCCTATGCCTTTTGTGTGCTTTGCAGGGAAAGGGCAGAGGGCCATGGCTAGTTTGTTGCATGCTTTGTATCTGGCAGGCACCAGTGAGAATAAATCGGCTTACTCAGTTTTGTTTTCTTTTTAAAAAAAAAAACACAACACCTTGCAATATAAATTACTCTGAAGAACAAAATCAGAAATATGCTCCATGGAAAACATGAGAGTAGCCCAAAGACCATGCCTTTTGGATCACAATTGGTCTATGTATCTGAATCATGGTGCACAGATTTTCTTGGAATTATACCATACCAGACTGTATGTGTAGTGTACTATGTCTTAGAATATAGTATAATATAGGGACAGACCCCTGCCTATTGAAAGACAGCATATCCTGAAGATAACTAGGACAGAACCCTTCTCCCTGGCATGCTGGTGGGTGGCTTGTAGGAGACTATTTAGGTTTTCCTCCCCTCTCCCCCCCCCATTTGATACGTGCGGCGGAGGGGAGGTAAAATTTAGTTTGTAAATAAAAAGGACATGATTTGCATATGTTGATACAGTATACAGATGTAAAATTGGAAATTATGTATAAACAGAGTTATAATGCATCTCTCCCAAATGGTGCTGAGTGTGGCTCCTGAGTTGGCTATTGAGGTGCCACTGTTAACTGTGGATGGGCCCCTTGTGGGTCTTTATCTTAACATCAGATTTAAAGCACAAACTCTTTCAAATAGAGGAACCCTTCAAATAAGGAACTGTCCTCTCTAAAAGAAAACACGAGGTAACTGACATTTCCCATCCCTATTCCAAATCAGTGGCTTGAATTTTTACAAGAGGAGAAGAAGGTGGAGGGTGGGGAAAAGATTTACAGGCAGCCTCCTCAGGGATAAGTACCATGAGGTTTACCTGGGAATCATCCTGGGTAAATAGGTACAGTTCTCAATAAGTACTAGGGATTGTATAAAAAGACAAAACCAGCAGTCCTCCTGAAAAATGGGCAGCCATAAAAATTAAATAGCTTAGTTGGGTATAAATAGTTCTCACAAAACCTATCACAAGTCTCTTTTTGACAGCAGGATCTTATCAAATTAAGTCTGAAAAAAAACTTCACTCAAATAGAAGAGATCACAAAGCCCTAGAAACAATATCCAAAGGGTGAATAGATGTCAAATAAAAAATAGATGTTCTACAAGACATGCTTCTCGGGTACCGTGTGTTCTGATGTACTCTAGCTAGTCTGTAAAGCAGTACAGACACAGATGGCACAGTACTATAAATGAATAAATAAATAAATAGCCAGTTCTTTGCATTCTGTCTTTGCACTGAAGTTCTAGGCCAGATCACAAGTTACGGTTACCATGGGGATGGAATCAGAAAAAAAAATTCCCTAGAGGAAATGATTTCTCACCCAGGCTTTAATGTTTCCTGAAATGGATGCTTCATCTTCTGGTTTTGCCTTTCCTCCCTTCCTCCATGATCCCCATGACCACCATGGTTGCCAGGTTATCAGCATCCCAAAGTCTGTGATCGCAGCTTAGTGATGTCACACAAGAGGGTCTGATGATATGAGATGGATGACAAAGCAAAGCGCAAAAAAAATAATAATAATAATAATAAAAAACTAGATCAGAGCCCATAACTATGAAGTTCAAAACATACAGGGCGTGGTGTGTCAGAGAAATTTGGACGGAACTATTTTTAAACTATATAGTATTACTCAACTTCCATTCTGCAGAACCTCTAGAATCAAGATTCAAAGGTAATACAATTATTGATGATGTAACTACTCCATTTATCTCAGTTAAATCACATGTTTGTTTGTTTGTTTATTTCTTCATTAATAACATTAAAAAATACTGCTTTTCAGCAACAAGCTCTTAATGCAGTTTGCCTAATAAAAGATCAATTCCAAAAATGTCACCAGTAATTTGCTTTCTTTCTTCAACTGATCAGTCAACATCTACACACACATACCATATAAATATAAACCATTTTTTCACATATCACTGGGAGATGAGGAATAAAGGAATCAAATAAGCTTCATGAGGAAGAAAATTTCAGACCCTAGAAGGAATGAAAACGAAACTACTGCCCAGTGTTGTTCAGATCATGTCATATAGGCAGGGCGCTTTAGAACAGTGATTCCCAGTCTTGGGTCCTCAAATGTTATTGGATGAAGACTCCCAGAGGCCATTACCACTAGCCATGCTGGCCAGGATTTCTGGGAGTTGTAGTCCAAGAACATCTGGGGAGCCAAGATTGGGAACTGCTGCTTATGAAAAATTGAATAATCAACAGATTTGTATGGGAGAAAGCAATCCTTTGGGGTGGGAGGAAGCTGATGCCAGGCCACTCCTGGTTTTAAGGGTTGAAATCAACACCTTGATCTGGCTTGGAAGTAAGTCATGACATAAAACCAGTGTTGCCTGCATACTTTGTGTACAGAATGTAGTTCAGTTTAGAACAGCCATACACTTTTTTTTTAATTCAAAGAGTCCCACAGTTCAATCTTGCCCCCTCCCAGGTAGGGCTAGGGAAGATGCTTGCAAAAATCTCAAAAGAACCACTACTGTCAAGGTAGATGTCATTAAACAAGATGAAACAATTATGTAATTCAGTGTAAAGCAACTTCCTAAGCAACCAGTGCTGGACTTAACCATATCACCAAGTCTCAAAATCTGGCAAAAGTAAAGGCAGACATCAAAACAGCACCCTTACAAATGATGAAGCAGCCAAAAGAAACTGTGTTTGAGGGGGAAAGTCTGCCATTCCAAACAGGAACCATATGTTTAATAGTCCCTAACAGTGTCTCAAACTTAATTACGTTTTTTTTTGAGGGGGGGGACAAAAAACTGGAAAATGAGAACACTGGGAAATATGACTAGATACTACAGAAGGGGGGCATTAAGTACTTGGCTACCACCGTTTTAATACACTGACTATTTGAATGGCCAGGGGTTTTTTGGTTTTTTTCCCCCAAAAAATAGAGCTGAACTTTTTGTTTCTGAAATGGAGGACATGCTTAAATGTCATGCTGTGGAAAACAATGTTCCAGGTTTCTTCTACAACAATACTGCTTGTCCTTTTCTAATACATTAAAAGCTCTTCATTTTAAAAACCCTACAAGGACTTTACAACAACTTTGTATGGGTGGACTGAAGAGCCTACATGTTATATCTTGGTTACAGAAAAACATGCTTTGCTATGGAAGATGAAAATATGAACATGCTGGATGCAACCTTTCAAAGTCCAGGCTTCTAATTAGAGCTGCAGGCATTCGTCCATAATCAGCTCGAGTGTTAAGTGATTAATAGGCAAAGGACAAGTCTAATGGCTAAGAGCAAATGTAACTGAAGCAATTATGAGTTTGTTTATTTATTTTGGAATGTATGAATTGTCTTTCATCCTCAATAGGAACCCCCCCCCCCAAAGTAATGCAATTAAAAGATGCATTTATTCTACGAGACCATTTTGATTCTGGTATGCTCCTGCGATAGGAAATGAAGAAAAGGCACCACGTTGTTATCTTTCAAAAGCATCTATATTGATATGTTAATATGTGTTCAAATATACAGAATTAAACTATCATCTTAAAAAGAAAACTATCAGCAGCCTGAATTCTAATACTGTATCTATTTCCTATACAGTATGTACAGTATATATATATTTCCTGTTAATTACATTTATTTAAAATATTTTTACCCCTTAAAAAGGACCCATGACTTACATCATTAGAAGACAGTATTTAAAGCTAACAACACCTAGTATATAAATACAAAAAGATATAAGATACTAAAAACATAAGCAAGACCAAAACATACACTATACAGAAGGTGGGAACAAGACACTGAGTGTTAAGCTGTTTCTTTTTCTCACTCCTCTTTCTCAGACTGACAAAATTATGCTTTAACAGTCAAATGTCTCTCTGGAAAAGTGATGGGAAGCTTGATTATGATCCAGACAGCATGTTCTAAGACAGAGGATCCCCTGTTTTGAAAATAAACTGTAAATCAGAGCTCATTTTCCCCATAAGCAGAGGTGCAGATCTGGAAGCTGACTGGTCTTCCACCTGGCTAAACCCCTCACAGAGATGAATACTCTTATCAATAGGATAGTCCAGTTGGATGCAGTCCTAAACCAATGTTATTTGGGCGATTGACAGGCTTACCAAATTTTAATCAAGACTTGGAAGGTGAAGGTTCTGTTTCTACCAAGCCATGAAGCTCATTGGTAGGGGGAAGATTTCTATGACTTTTCACATTTCCCCTGCAACCTTCATTGAAGCCCATAAGCAAGTTCAAACATGTTTATGAGTTATCTGGCCTTTCTCACCAAATTATTCATGAACATCTTCAAACCCACCCATAAGCTCAAATAAAGGTTGCTGGGGAAATGACATGTCATAGAACTCCTCCCCCTACTCATTGGATAAAGTTGAGCCAGTCCATCACATGTTGACCTACTTCACAAGGTTATTGTGAAGCTAATGTGGGGAGGTATGTTGCATTTTTTTGGATGAAAGGCAGGATGTAAGTGGAACAAATAAGTAAAACATGGCCTGGGAGGACCACTTTGCCCACCCCACCCAAAAGGCTGCCTAAAACTCTTTGGAATGCCACATGTATGCATACATCTTGGGTTCTGTTGCTGACACTGCTGTTTTACTGTTCTTACAGTTTTCCTATCACCCAGAATTGATCCCTCCAGATGCTTTGAACTACAGTTCCCATTAGCCTCTGCCAACATGGCCAGTCGACAAGGATGGTAGGGATTGCACACCAAAGCAATTCTACAAAGATCCAGCTAGTGGAAGTGGCTCTTTGGGAATGCTCAGATACAGGGAACACAACTCAAAGGAGACTCATCTCCAGACTGGTACATTAGAAGCTTTTATCACACATACACATGCTCCATTGTCATCAACAATAACCATGTCTCCATGAAAGGATTGTTGCCCCCATTTTAAACTTGTAGGTCTTGGGTTTATGCATTTGTCCTTGATAGATTTCATTTCCTCTTTACCAGCCCAGCTCTCCAGGCTTGAGATAATGCTGAAGGTATTTGCTGCTAATGTTTGGAGAAACAATGAACCCTTCTCGTAATATCCTCTAATAGCCTGTATAGGAGATGCTCTTAGAACCATTGAAAGCAGGAACAGATGTTTACAGAAATGGTCTGATTATAGACCAAAGAAACAAAGACTCCTATCATTAAAGGACTGGGCAAAAGGAGAAAAATATTAAACAAAATCAACAGTCAGCTAAGATGAAACAAGGTGCAGGTACAAGGAAAGTACTGCTCTCCAGGATTCGCTTAGCTTTTGTTCCTGGGACCTTTCTACACATACACAGCTGCCTAACCACAAATTCAGACTGACATGTGCATGTTGTCTGGATGTCTGATGCACAGATCAAGAGGTTTGTGAACTACAATTTGGGCTCAGACTTCTCAGTAATTAGGGATTGAGAATAATTATTTTATTAATAACTGCAAGGCAACTTACTAAATTCATTCTTCTTGCACAATTAGCCTGCCTTTATCTCAATGATATAACACAATGGGAATTTTGAAAGCCTTGTGAGATGATCTGCCGGAGACAACATAAAGTCTAGGGTCCTTTCCCCTTAAGCAAAGCACACAGATATAGGAACTGCAGAAGGACAGGCTGATGGTTAAGAAAAAGGCAAACAACCCATCCAAGGCTTAACATTGTTTAATTTCCATGACTGTTCAGGAGCAGTTGTCTTAGTTCTGAACAAATTTTGCATAAATCATGTAAAAAAAAAATCATCCTAATAAATGTGATGGCAGAATTGAGTTTCAGGGGCAGGTGTCTAATGCAGTCATTGCAGGCAAGAAGGACAATGAGCTATTCCTCTCTTTTGGTCTTGAGAGCAAGTCAAATAAGGATATACATCCCTACTCAGATGTATGGATCAGGATTGAGAGTACTCATGAGGCTTGAAGGGAGCAGGGATGTGCAACACCCATCACTATGACTGGCAAACAGTATGAAAAGTCAATACTACAGAGACTACATTCCATACCAGTTTCATTCAGAGTGGAGGAGGAAGGATTGCTCACATTAAAGCTGACCTCAGATATTAATAAATTTGGTTTCCAATTAATTAGATATCAGCACTTCTAGAATATCATCTCAGTAGTAGAAGTAAAGAAACTAAGCTAGGGCTAGAGAGGGCTCATTTATACCTAAAACCTCTGTCCCCTCAAGCTGAATCTAAAGGGAAGTCTTAAGCACATTTGAAGGGATCTTCATTACTATGGAGAATATGATATATGTAAGCCCTCTTTACTATCTCTGTAAATAGATACAGACATATGTGTTGTAGGGGGATGGATTCCCTTGGCCTTAGACACCCCTACAATTAGTCCACAAGTCAATGGGTCATTTCAACTGTATCCTACCACCCTTTGTATGGACATTCACAGGAGACTGCTAAACCTCATAGAATCATAATGGAGTTGGGAGGAGCCTATACAGCCATTGAGTCCAACCCTCTGCTGAATGCAGGAATCCAAGTTAAAGT